CACCATAGAAATTTACATGTTTTTACTATTTCAGATATTATAATTCCTTTTTATTATGGAATTATTAAAGTATTTTCCATGGTAACTTGTAAGTATGTTTTTACTGTTTGAGACTTTATAATTCCATCTAGCCCTCATTATGAAATTATTAAAATATTTTTGATTCATTAATTTCTTATTACTTATTGCCCCTAATTAACGCCCCCTCCGGTATTTTTTTTTTTTTTATAAAGCTTATCTCGTGTGACAGCAATAGTAATCCAACATATAATTAATTCACTTTTATTACGATAAATTTGATTTGAAAAAAAAAAGAAGAAAAACAAACACACATACGGATTAGTATTGAAATCAACAAATCATATGTGAAAAACAGAATCCAGAACTGCAGAAATACTATAACTAGCGCCCCCTTTGAATTTGCAACGCCCCAGGGGGCGTTAATTAGGGGCAGTACGATATGTTTTAACCCTGAGAGAGAAAGAGAATAATAACAATCACGCTAATGAAAATATTCACTACACAAAAATGTAAACACTTGTCTAAACAAGAAAGCTTTATTGCGTTAGAAACTAAGCTGTAGAGTATAAATCACAACACATTTTCATTAACTTAAATTTAAATTCTTGAACACTGAGAGAATTTAACTGCTGTTTTACCAACAACGACAGAAAAAAATTGCTTCTACATGTACTTTTAGAACACTGTACTAGTAAGCTGCCTGATAAAAAAATATATACCATGGAAAACTATGACTGAATCATAAATTAGTGCATGTTTTCAAAGACAGTAGATGAAAATGGTAAGGAACTTATATAAGAAAAAATCTAATTCCTTTGAATAAGTCACAATTATTTAAATTCTGGTTGAAAGAGCTCTTGGTGGATATAACCAGAATTATATTTTGTACAGTATAACGCAATGTTTTTAAAAAGTATTAAAAAATACAATACCTAATATTAATATCTCTTACACAAGGACAATAGTTTTGGTAAAAAATAAACATCCAATCAGAAAAATAGTTAATAATTTCCAAATTTCAAAGTTAAACATGCTATCTCTATATTAAGATTTTTTATTTACTTTCCCATTGTAAAGTAAAATGATTAACACAAATGTACAGAAGTTGAAAAAAAAGATTAAACCATGTCTCCTTTTCAGCATATAATAATTTTTACGATAAAAATTAACTATACTGTGTGTGTGCTTACTTATGGTAGAAATATACTAATTTAATAAAGTTTTCAGGTAATTTTGACAAAAAAATTAAAGATTTATTTCAAATGTGAACAAACAAAAACATTTTTACAAGGAAAACAAATAAAACTCATACACTAGTGATATTAATATGTTTTTACAACATTTTTTTCAAAGCAAGGCAGTAAAGCAAACTCTACATTTAGCTAAATGATCAACATGTACACTTATGGCACAGTAAGCTCGAATGTCAAAATAGCAATGGCTACATTTCTTCATAGTATTTGGAGTTTTTAGAAAAAAAAAGGCATTAGTTCTTCTCTACCACCTCAAAGGTTTTAAAAATAATCTAAGTTCAGCCAAAAGCATTTGAAATTCATTGACTGAAACATTAACAACAACACTCATAAAACTAATATAATATGGGAAGAATAGCTAACCAAAAGAACACAGCATTGTTAGTCTTAAAAAAAACAACAACCTTTTACTCAATGTGGTTAAAATGTAGAATGCCTAATGACTGGCTTCATCAGATGTGAACTGGTTTTTAATCTCCTGTATGCTTTCCTTCAGATTTTCATCCAATTCATCATCGTAATGTGTGGACACTTGAGTGACAGTATGTTGCTGACCATCAGCTCCTACTGTGGTGACTGTATGTGTGGTCACCGATCTAAATAAATAAAGTATATAATATATCAATGTTAATAGCACAATTTGGTAACCTAATATTTTATGTTAATTTAACCTTAGCAAATTATATTTTATAAAGAACAAAAAATGTTTTGCATAGATCTGCTTGAATATTGATTATGAAAGGTATCACGTTGAGGCTGTTATGGTGAAAACATTAAAGTATAAAGGTAGAGGGTTTTATATCATAAAAAAAGTCTTACTTTTCAAAAGTATAAAATATTTTGTATACAGTGAAAACATCATGAATGATGAAAAGGCACTTATCTTGTTACTGTAAATGCAATGTGTTTCTTCACTCATAAAATGTCATTAGTTTTTCCATGTGATAACACTAGTCCCAGACTGATGAAAAGAGATCTGATAAACAATTTATCGACTTGAATTTAGCTACTTTCTATGAATATGAGTTTTGATGATCCTATAATCATTTTGAACACTAAATCCAGTCAGGTCTGTTATAATTCATATAGAAGAGTCTGAAAGCTATATGAAACAATGATGCAAAGCAGACTTCCCATGACTACAATTATTTGTCTAATTTTCAAACTAAAGATCAAGCCTTCTTCAAAACTCAAAGCCCAAAATAATTTAAATAACTATGAATATTTTATTTGTTAACAAAGAAACTGCTATACCTGGTTCCTGTGGTACTCTGTCCAATCCAATAATCATCACCATTCTTATGTTCCCTATCTTGCTGCAAAAGGCCACTACTTTGTCCATCTTGTTCTCTGTCTATAAGAGAAAAATGTGTGTATATTAACCTAACTTTAGAGCAAATAGGAATAAAGGCATCACTGCTTCAGAAATTTCTATAGTTAACTAAATGGCTAGTACTTACATTATCATATTTTAAATATTTTAATGATATTTACCCTTAGTAGTAAAATACTTTAAGTCAAACACTGCTATTGCTATTAAGACTTAAGGTTTACTCAAGCATTTATAGTCTTATTTTAAAATATTTTACGTTCTTGCCATTACTGTAGGTACATTTTTATCTTTCAGAAAAGTAAAAAAAAAAACTGAGTGAAGAACAATGGACCAAAAATAATGCACTGACAAGCACATTTGAAAATATGATCAAAATCTGTAATATCATACATGAGCTGTGACAAGGTAAAAACCACTGTTCTAAAATAATGTTAATCCCCCTCTTCAGTTCATTGTTATGTAAATCAGACATCTGATGATCCATCAGTTTTACAGACAATGAGGTGTTACGTGTTTTAAAACTCAAAGAAAACAATAAAAAGACTACATTTCTGAGATTATGGTTAGTAGAAACATACAACTATGTATATTTATGTAGAACTGATACCTATACGTATATAATACAATAATGAAACTTCAATAACTATGGTAGTTTTCATTTACACACACAGGTGTTTTTTACAATACAAAATTCATTGGTTATGAGACAACATTAGTACACTGTAGCTGTCATTACATTTCACAATACAACATCAAAAACAGGGTCATCAAATAATTATTGCATTAAGTAACAACAAAAAAAAACCAGGCACTAGGTATACTTCATTATTACAGTCACAGTATTACATCACAAAAGTCATACACTTTATTATATGTATTTAAGCAACAAGTTACTACTTGACTGCACTATTTCACACATTTCTCACTGTTCAAATGTATTGTGGTTGATATACTTAACACACAAAGTTTTAAAAAATCATGCATTTCAAATAGGCTGTTCATAGTCAAACCACACGAAATACAGCAACTCCAGCTGTTATATAAAAAAACAAGTATATTAAACACTTTCATGTAACAGGATGAAACACCGTAAGCACAAGATATAAACACACAAAATAGTTAAGTACTGTTAGGGACCAGCTAAACATTTATATTGTATATTGTACACTTTCATGGATTAATGAGCTCCTGTAACAGAATGAAACACTATAAGCACAAGATATAAACACAAAGAATAGTTAAGTACTGTTAGGAACCAGCTAAACATTTATTATCATTAGATCATTATCAGAATATATTGTGAGTATAAATCAGAACCTTTGCAATGAAGCTTATACTCTACAACACTTTACCTGCTGCTTTTGTCTCCTCCATCTTTGGATGGAATGTAAAGGCTAGGAGATCAATATAGTGGCAGAAAGAAAGACAAAAAAGGGGATATGAGGATAAAGATGAGCTATTATTTTCAAAATATGCTTTCTTTCAGTTATAATTTAAACATTAATACACAGTAGTATTTTATTTCTGTTGTGTAAGTCATGAAACAAAAGAATATTTTGCACTAAGAGAAATCACTAATAATTTCATTAATCACGTCTGTTCTCTGAAAGTACTCAACTTTCATAGCTAATATACTGACTTTATGGTAAATTAAAAATGTTCTTAAATTTACAGTGCAAAGAGTGTGTGTGCATGAGTTGGACACCCAATAACCTGCCAATGTTCCGAGTGAAACACTTTTTGTATATGGATGTTACTCATTTTATACTCCAATTTAACTGTTTGAATTCAGTTTACACTTAAAAATCATCAGCATGTTGTTTGGCTGAATCCAGTCATGGTTCACAGAATTGAAGAACTGCATGACAAGCATAAAGAAATCAAAATTTTGGCTGGTAAAGGTTACTCCATGTGAAAAATTGTGGCATAACTCCATGTATTAGTTGGATCTCCAAAAGTTATGTTAATTATATCAGAGTATATTTTATATGATAAATGATGGTTGAATACAGATCTTGCCAACCACATTCTTGTAAATACAGTTGTGAGTGTAACCTCAAATAAAGTAAGATAGAATGAAGTGGTCTCTTTGGATGTGTAGCTGCTGAGAAAAGGTAACCAAACCAAGATGTGAAAGTGGGCATCAGATCACAAACAGTGGAACAAGCAAAGCTGGAAATGTGTGCTCTTGTTACAGCTGAATCCAAGTTTGAATCATTCCGGAATGATCAATAACAGATTGTTCATTGATGGAGAGGAGAATGGTATCATAATTAATGTACAAGCTTTGGGCTGCATCTCAGCTATGTGTCAGTGATATACACAAAACTGACGACACCCTGACTGCTGATAAGTGAAGGCATATTCTGATCCATCACTTCATTTCTTCGGGGACATAATTCATTGGGCAGGGATTCAGCTTTCAGCAAGAAAATGATTACAAGCATAAATCAAATTAGTAAGAAATGGTATTTGAATGTATAAAAGCTCACAGAGCATTCACAACCATGGCTTGGATGGACTACACCAGTCCTGATAAGTCAAAAGACAAACTTGTTTTAAATAAGTGGAATAATATAGGACATTTGGAACAATATTCTACAATTGTAGGTTTATAAATTGTATGGAAGCATGAAAAACAAGATGTAATGCACCATGTAAAACAAAGGGCTCACATACAACATACTAATGTATTGTAAACTTATTCACTTTTTTTTATAATTTTCTGCAATAACATTTTGTACGTCAGTAAATTTTTCATCTAGTTGTCAATACTTGTTGTTATGCAGATCCAGTCTATCATTATGAACCTCATTCATATTTTCATGAAATTTTCTGTCTGTACACAAGCAATTGACACTGAAATTTACTGTGCACACTTTAGGCTTCACTAGAAATTTCTAGTTCATATATATATATATATATATATTTGTTCTCTTTTATTTTGTAATCTTCAACTTTAGTAGAATGGTAAGAAACTAACACTGGGGGAATTCTAAATCTTCTCTTTAGCATCAAGACTTTCAACAATATTTATGAATCTGAGGGTCTAATGTTAAGTGTCCTCTTTAATGTCCTCATGATGGTTATCTTTCCCTTCCTCACTGACCTTCTGATATTCTTATTACCACTTTTACCAATAAGGAGGACATATTTTTTGGGAAATTCCTGAACTTTCTGTAAGTTTTCAGGTCCTTTTTCTGCTCAGAAGCAGTCTGTAAGGATAAGAAACATGCATAATCTTTTTTCTTCTGATTTATGCACTTTTTCTTTCTCTAACGAAGAAAGTGGGAACGATTACTTCCTTTTCTGATTCTCTGTAATTTTTGTAATACATTATCATTTTAAATTCCATTATAGAAGAACAAACCTAATAAACAACTTACTTTATTTTAGCTTGTGGTCGATTTTATTATAAGGTGACACAAATTTGTAAGTAATACAGATACTTGACAGAACCATTTTTTAATTCAAGAAGTTCTTCTCTTTCTTTATAGCTCATTTTGGATTTTTTTGTCAGTACTACATATTCCTAACTGATGCTCATTCATTTTTTTGTTCAAAAGAAAATATTTCTGTGAAACAAATATGTTACTTTCTAATCCATATTGTGAGCTTTTGATATTAAGCATGTCCTTTCTTTTGGTATATTTATTGTTTCAGCAAATGTTTTGCTTCTTACTGTCTTTGGGTATAGCAATATTAATCACACTTTATGTCTGATGTTGACCTTGGAGCTACTTTATCATTCATGATTAGTTTAACAGCCATGATTATTCACTATTGCCTAACAGTGAAATTTCCATTGTAACAAGCTACCATGAAGGATTGCGAGGTTACTTTTAGGTAATACATTTTAACAAACTTCTCATAAATCTTCTATTGCACATAGATTTCAGCTTCCACGAATATGTTTAAGCACACCAAAAGCACAAAATTCAGTTGGAGGTATACTGGAGGATTAAACAGTATAATGAGAGTGCTTTGATTCTAGTTTTTTGGCTTATTTCTCATGAAAACAGTCATTGGTTTCAAGGTGTGACTGAAGTTTGTCAACTTCAAAACACTGTTTGATAGTATTTGTAAGTACTAGAAGATACACCTAGTTTCATTGCAATTGCTTTTTTGGGTAAGAAGGCTCTCATATACAACCATAATCTTCACCTTGTGAATGAGGTAATTTTTGGTCATGGGTAATGGTTTTTTGGAGCTCATTGCAGTTGTGTACTTTGTTTCTACATGGTTTAAAATCTTACTCTATATTTATCTTTGGAAAGGCTTTTTATTATTTCCAGTTACCCAGGTGCAATTGCACTGTACATAAATGGTAATCTTGTCACCCATGGTGTCATGACTCACAGTTGTGGTGAACACCAATACTTTAGCATATACAAATCATTCAAATAATAAAATTCATCAAATGCATAGGTGCTAAACTTGTCACCCTTGGTGTCATGACTCATGGTTGTGGTGAACACCAATACTTTAGCATATACAAATCATTCAAATAATTCATGATTTTCAACAAGGTCTTACTCTGAAATAAATGAATGTTCTGGCTAGTGCAACACACATTTGCCTATATTCATCTTTTTTCAAAACTTTCTTATTCCACTTGCTTTATTATAATTTCATTTTCTTCAAAATTTCCTTTCATTTGTTATTCAGTAATGTTTTCTATATCTTAATGTACCAAAACCTCATATACATTATGCTCCACAAAACTAAATTGTGTTTTTGCAAGGACTTCATTCTTCATTTCATTGAGGCACTTCTTACTTCACTAGCAAAACTTTGTTCAGTTCCGTTAACCTCAGTTTTTATTCATAATCAGACTGAAATATGCTGACACTATGGAATTTTTTCTACAATATATTTCTAAGAGTTTCTTTTAGTGGTCAAGTTATTCATAAACCAATTCCAGTGACCCATAGGGAGAAAAATAATATAACTGAGCACTTTTCTCTCCTTACAGATGAATAAATGGACTTTTCTAAAATGTTTGAATATATTTACTGGTTGATATGATTTTCTTATTACCTGTGATTAATTCAAGTGTTGGGAATTTTAAAACAGCTTTACTGATTGAAAATGCATTTTATGAGGACCAGCACCTCTTCTAGTTTTTTCATCAATACCAAGTCTTCCAGAAAGTATGCTTTCATATCCAAAATGATTAATACAATATGTTCAACCTGTTTCAGAGAGTTGAAAAATTCCATACGATTTTGTTTCTTATTTGATGAAGGTGCTTGCATAACATTTGTTCAAACAGAACTCTTAACTTCATAAAAAATATTACAACTATAGTTGTCTGAGATTTCACTTTTGTATGTATCAATGTATTCAGTTCTTCATACTTCTAAGCATATATTAGGAAGATGAGAAACAGTTTAGACCTCTTCTTTCAGGTACAAACAGATATTATTAAGAAATAGAATCTTTAGCTCAGGTAACATGCCTCACATTTCAAACTTCTTTATGAGACACGTCCACAAACACTTACATTTTTGTTACAAGATACAAAATGTTTGATAACTCCTGTCCACATGGACTAAGGTTATTATGACAAAGGAAGGGTGTAAGAGTGATAACCATCTGTGTTCATGAAAGAGCTTGGGTTTAGTTTTATTAGAAAGTTGTACATCACAAAAAGTACTTATTCTTTGATCATATGCCATTTGTGGATAGTGAACAGTAGGATTGTGCATTAAAGTTTAGTAAAGACATAATAGGAGTGGTAATGATGACATATTTACCAGATTAAGCCCACTGAATATATAAAAAAAACTGTTATTCGATTATTTATTGTATTTTTTTTACACTGATATTTAAAATTTTCAAGTCAGAAACATTGATAGATTTCATTTCATTTCATCTATTTTAAAACTGTAATTATGTTCAACATAGGGAAAGGAAGATAACCAACCAAGTAATCATGAGAAAATATCAACAGACATCAAAAATGCTTTTTTGTATGAATAAATTCTATTAAGCTGTTTATCATAGCAAAGAAATTTATTCAATCATGCTGAATCCAAATGTTAAACTTTCATCTATGAGGCTTATAAAACAAAATGAAAAAAAAATCATTGTGCACAAATTCCATTAAATCTCTAACTATGTTTTTAATTAATTATTTCATCTTAGCTTATGTAAGCAAGCATATTAACTTAAGATTGTTAATTTGTTTTGTAGTTTTTCAAGAAACATATTTAAAATGTTTAACAAAGGTACTAAGTTGTTCATGAATAAATGATTCAAATCAGAGTTTATATATTCTGAAAAATGGCTATTTGTTGAATAACCTAAGAGGCACTTGTATCAGTACTCTACTTAGGCCTTATTTCTTTTCAACAAAATTTTCTTCAAATGACTTAACATATTAATTTATCTTACATATTTTAAGCTGTTGTTTTTCAGTACAAGATAAAGATTATCTACCTATGAGTTTTTTTCTCCCTAAATATGGCAGCAGTAATGAAAATATAGAAGGAGGTGTTCTCATATAAAAAACATGAAGAATCTCTTCTACATTTGATTGTTAGGTTTCTGATGGGTTAGTGTTAAAAAGAGTCTGAACTCACATATTCTTACTCCCACCCAACTTTAAATACTTGTACCTTCAGTTTCAGTCAGAATTACAAAATCTGGGGTCGACTGTGAGCGATGAACATATGAAGTATCAACAAAGAGTTTTCCTTCTTCAGGATCTGTGATTATTGGTGGGGCAGAAAAGGTCTCATCTATGTGCAACTCTTTTCCTGTGATGTCTATAGCTGGTTCATACTGTTTTTTATGTTTGGCAGGAATACACATGTATCTACGCTGTGTTTCTGGAGTAATTACAAGTGGCTTCAGCTGAACCTCACCCTCTGGGTAAATATCACTTTCCTCCATAATCTCAACTGGGGAGTCCTTTGATTGTGTCGTGGCTTCCTCCTTGTTCTCTGGAGAAAGGTCCTCTGATTGTGTCGTGGCTCCCTCCTTGTTCTCTGGAGAAAGCAGCTCAATTTTCTCTTCTTCTTGATCATTTTTCTTCTCTAGTTCCTCACCCTCCCTCTGACCTATCTCATATACAGCATCACAGCCTAATAAGTAATGTGCCTCATTTTCTAAGCATTCTTGACAATGCTACTCCCATCTTTCATATTACACTCTGTGACTCAGAAGAACTGGTCACTGCTCTTAGTTTGTGTGAATGGCCATTAGAAAATTAAATAGTATTGTAGAAATAAAAATTATTGGTTTAAGAAGCTAAAAACAGTCACTATATAACTGCATTAAGGGAAGAAAATGGAAGAGAGGGGGATGGGAGCAACAAAGTAAAAAATGAGAATAAACAGTGTCAAACATCTAGATCTTTGAAAGAAAAAATAAAACATATTCATAACAGTTTAAAATACCACTTTAGAGTTCTATATATACATCAAAAGCAACATAAAAACAATAAATTTAAACCAATAACCAATCTGGCCACATTATTTACTAGATCTGCTTCTGCAGATTTACATATCTTCACCTGCCTATATATTTTGTTCTGTTAAAATGGACTCATTCTAGATTATTTCTTTCTCAGTATACTATGCATTTGGTAAATATTAACATCTACTTTGACAACATTGTCAAATTAAGATTTAAAGTATTACTAATTTTCAGTTTCTTTTTCTAAAATTATTTTAACATTGCTAACAATAAGTCAATCAATGAACTAGTTTTGTTTAGTTCATGCCTTAATTTACAAATTAACAATGTCTCTTTGATATGAAGAATTCTCACAATTTTGAATAGCTTGGTCTTTTAAAATAGATATGTTATCAACAAGTTTGAAAGTTCTTATACATGTATTTTTAGCTGTCTGGTGGCAGACCCAATATACAGAGCTGCATCTAGGACATATAAATTCCTGAAGAACATTTGATGTTATTAGAGATGTTTTTTTTTTTTTTTTAATTTCATGCAAAACTACACGAGGGCTATCTGTGCTAGCCATCTCTAATTCAGCAGTGTAAGACTAGAGGGAAGGCAGCTAGTCATTACCACCCACCACCAACTCTTGGGCTACTCTTTTACCAACGAATAGTGAGATTAACCATCACATTATAATGACCCCATGGCTGAAAGGGCGAGCATGTTTGTTGGGATGGGGATTTGAACCAGCGACCCGCATATTTCGAGTTGAGGTCCCTAACCACCCGGCCATGCCGGGCCCATTAGAGATGGTATTCTGTTCTTCAATATAAAGAACAACAAAGCTACACAATAGGATATTTGTGCTGTGTCCACCACAGGTATCAAGAACAGGATGTTTTCGCATAATAAGCCTTTTGACTTACCACTAAGCCACTGGGATTTGACA